ATTAAAGAAGAAATCCTTCAAATTCTCTAAATTTTGAGTTTTAAAAAGCACTGAGTTAGCCGAAACCGGTTTGGCTCAGCGGTAGAGCGTCGGTCTGCGGACTGAAAGGTCCCAGGTTCGATTCTGGTCAGGGGCATGTACGTTGGTTGCGGGCACATCCCCGGTAGGGGGTGTGCAAGAGGCAGCTGGTCGATGTTTCTCTCTCATCGACGTTTCTAGCTCTCTATCTCTCTCCCTTCCTCTCTGCGAAAAATCAATAAAATAAAAAAATTTTTTAAAAAAGCACTGAGTTAAAAAAAATATAAACAACTTCTATTCAGTTACTACATACCTCTTGCCCTCAAGAAAAAGGCAAAAAAGGAATAGGCCTCAATAAAAAGCATCCCAACAATTCAAATGACCACAGTTCTACAAGAACCAGCATCTCTGCCACCTTAAACATCTCTGTTAAGTTTCTTCAATTATACCTGAACATATTCTGACTGAGATAGGAAGTTATTTCTCTCCCAAATACTTAGGAGTGTCTTACTAAAAATATTAACTTGCCTCCAGATAGTGGTCTCAGTTATTAACATAAATAAGAACCTGAGCTGTATGTGGTAAAAATGCAATGTCCAGGGTTCTATCCCCTTGAAGGTCTGACTCAGTAGCTCTAGGATGCCAATCCCTGCAAAGTACCGCATTTTTCGGACCATAAGACGCTCCGGACCATAAGACGCACCAGTTTTTAGAGAAGGGAAATGAAGAAAAAAAGATTCTGAAACAAATAGTGTCCTAAAATATTTTATGTGCATTAAAACCCAACATCACAGTCATAAACACATGTAATCAACCCTGTAAAGTGTAAAGTAAACAGCAGCATTTAGAACCATTTTAGAGCCGGGCAAGCACACAGAGACCACACAGAGCCGGGCAAGTAAAAAAACTTTTTTTTTAAAGTATATGTGTAGGCTATATTTGGACCATAAGACGCAGGGACTTTTTCCCCCCACTTCTGGGGGAGAAAAAGTGTGTCTTATGGTCCGAAAAATACGGTATATTTTGAATAAGCATACTAGGCAGCTTCTGACATAGGTGATCCTCTTCTCACCATCAGAAAAAAAACATAGTACAGCCGAAACCAGTTTGGCTCAGTGGATAGAGCATCGGCCTGCAGACTCAAAGGTTCCAGGTTCCTTTCTGGTCAAGAGCATGTACTTTGGTTGTGGGCACATCCCCAGTACGCGGCATATAGGAGGCAGCTGATTGATGTTTCTCTTTCATCGATGTTTCTAATTCTCTATCCCTCTCTTTTCCCCTCTGTAAAAAAATCAATAAAATATATTTTAAAAAGAAAAAAAACAGTGCAGAACGCTCACCTGCCTCACCTCCCAGAAGGACCAAGCTGGAGAAAATATTTCTGACATAACAGCTTAGATTCTCATCTGGAAACCCAGAGACAAAGGCACTCTTTACTAACTGTGCTCCACTATCTCACTAGACACTCAGAGATTTGTCATAGTTTTTTCTTTTTCATAAGGACAATACACAAGACAGCAAAAACGATGCTATATCCCCAATGAAGACCCAAAACTGGATGGAGCAGCCCAAGGCATCTATTAGGAGAACCCAGAGTATATTTTTGTTCTGAGGATTTTTAAAAAATTGATTTTAGAGAGAAAGGGAGAGAGAGGTGGAGAGGTTGAGAGAGAGAAAAACACCTATCTGTTGCTCCATTTATAGCCATATGTTCATTGGTTGATGCCTGAATGTGTCTGGGGATTGAACCCGAAACCTTAGCATATGGGAACAAGGCACTAACCAATTGAACAATCCAGACTGGGAGTTCCGAGGATTCTTAAAGAACCCCAAACCAGGCTGACTTTGAACTTCTACTAATAGCCTCTGGTGAAAGCTTCTGGAGGGCAGATATCTTTCTCTGATTCTCTGACAGCCTGGGACAGTGCTGAACAGACAGACAGACTGAAGGCACTGGTGCCTCTCTTAGGATGTGCAGGGAAAGGGAGTTCCTATCTGATAAAAGAAGGTCAATGAGTGGCGAAGAGGAGGAAGCTTTAGTACAGTTTCTGGGTGGCATGGCTCAGTGGTTGAGAGTAGACCTATGAACCAGGAGGTGATTGTTAGATTCCCGGTCAGGGCATATGCCTGCTTTTCAGATACAATCCCCAGGAGGGGCACCGACCACAGGCAACTAATTGATACTTCTCTCTCATATCTCTCTCTTTCTCCCCCTTCTTCATGTCCTCAGGTGATGATAAAAAATAAAAATAATGGCCCAGCTGGCTTGGCTCCCTGTTGAAGCATTGACCTATGAACCTATGAACAGTTCAATTCCTGTCAGGCACAGGCCCAGGTTGTCAGCTTGATCTCCAGTGCAGGGAGTGCAGGAGGTAGCCTATCCATGATTCTTCCTCATCATTGATGTTTCTAGCTCTCTCTCCCTCAGGCTTGCTCTCTGAAATCAATAAAATATATTTTTTAATGTATTAGGTATTACTTGCACATTTCATGCTAATTTCTTTTTACAAATAGATAGTTGGGTTTAAAATTGCAATCCCCTCCAACTCCAATTCCTATTTCAGAAAAGTTCTGCCTACCACAAAAGGAAGATCTCCACTCATTTCATTTATCAGATTCTGTGGGAAATCACTCAAGACAAAATAATTAAAATAATTTGCTTAGTTTATTCATTATCAGAACAGGTATCTTAAGAGTGCTTTCCAAAGGAAGCCCTGAATAATCTTTATAATTGGTGTACCGATTTTCTGTAATCAATGTCATTTACAAACATAAATTGTAGCAACATGAAAAATGGCCATAAACTTTGCAATATGAAAACTTTAAAGACAAACAGATTATGTTGGTAGTGGAAAGAGTATAAGCCTTGTTATCATGCAGATCTGGGTCCAAGTTCCAACTCTACCACTTACAACTTGTGTAAATCTCGATAAGTTACTTCTTCAATTTTCCCTTTCTTCATAAGTAAAATGGGAAAAATGATACCAACTTCATAATTTAAAAACATGACAATGTAAATAAAACACCTAATTAAGATGGTCAGTTTACCGTAAGCACTATGTAAATGGTATCTGATGCTATCATTTAAAATATCTGTATTTCTACATTGGAAAATAGTAAAAAAAAGAAAAAAGGGTTCTAATTCTAAGCGTTGGTCGAAAATGATCAACCAGCCCAGCCAGCATGATTCACTGGTTGAGCTTCGATTTATGAACCAGGAGGTCACGGTTAGATTCCTGGTCAGGGTACATGCCTGGGTTGCAGGCTCCATCCCCAGTGTGGGGCGTGAAGGAGTAACCAATCCATGATCCTCTCTCATCATTGAAGTTTCTATCTCTCTCCCCCTCTCCCTTCCTTTCTGAAATCAATAAAATACATATTTTTAGAAAAACAAAATTATAACCAAGTTTTACAGTCATAATTTTTTTCCCTCTTGGCTGCCATGGCTCAGTGGTTGAGCATCTATCTATGAACCAGGAGGTAACGGTTCTATTCCCAGTCAGGGCACATGCCTGGGTTGCTGGCTCAATCCCCAGATAAGTCAATAAAACAAATTTTTAAAAAAAATTTTAAAAGAATATATATTTTTAATTTTTATAAATTTCAGGAGCCTTTTAGTGAGAATATTTTCAACTTAGTTTTCAATTCCTATCCCAAAACAGTTCTGATAGTTCTCCACAGGCCTTATACTTCTCCACTCCCATTCCACCATTTTCAAAACAGCTCTCTTTTATTCAACCTATCTCCTGCCTCTCCTCTTAAAGTCTTCCTATTTCATGCTCCAATGTTTTAGTCCTGAGATCTCCGGCCTACTACAAAAGACCCACACCAAATCATCTATACAAAAGCTTTATTTGCATTTGCCTGTACCAACACTCTTACAAATACTTGATCCTTATAACAGCTCAAGTTGATATACAAGGTCGAAGTTATATCTAGATTTTACAGTTACGACCAAAGATACATTGCTAGAAAACAGCATAGGCCAGCCTAGAACTCAAATTTTCAGATTCCAAGTTCAGCACTTTTCCCAACTCAACTTATAAAGCTACTACTTCTTGCATGTTTTCTTTAAATCATTTATTCACAAAACATAGGGGAAAACCCTCTTTGTATCTCCTGGTATCACAACAGTACTGCTACAAAGACAGCTTCCTCCGACAGTATTTTCAAACGATCCCAACCATTAAAACCAAAAGTTGCTTTTAACAGTTCCTGCACAATCTTCAACTAAGTAAGAACGCTGGATGCTGCATGAAAATGGCCAAGAGGCCCCGGCCACAGTCCCTCCATATCGCCCTATATTTCTCCATCTCTGCCCTCTTTCCTCCTCCTAAGAGTTTTCTTCAATCTGACATCTCATCAGGGGTCCTCTCAACCTCGAACGACTCAAGTTGCCAAATGCGAAATCCGTGCGCGCAGCTAAGTCTCCCACGCCAAGCACCGCGGAGGTTCCCTGGGACATTTAGGATGTCATCCCTTTACTCCGTCCACACACCTGTCTGAAAAACTTCATCTCCCAGAGCCCGCACCTTCGTCGCCATCCCACCCCCAAAGCCCCACGCTCACCTCTTGCACCTCCTCCCAAACCTCCAGCCTCCTGGGTTGGCGGGCGATACTTCCTATCTCTCCTGGACCAGATCGCCTGGCCTGTAGCCCGCCGCCCCGATCTGGACCCAGCAGACCACGGACCCCTCCGGTCCCCCGAGCCCGAGGCCCACCAGCCCGATCCCCCTGCCCCGCCTCCCCGCCCAAGGCGCCAAGTACTCGGGGCTCCTTCTCCAGGCCCCGGCCGGGCTCCGAGGGCCCCGGGAGCTGCTGGGAGCATAGGGAGGAGGAGGCAGCAACCGTCAGGGCACCGGGCGGGCCGGGCGCTAGGGACGGGTGACCCCGGGCCCGGCCGGCTCCCAGCTCCCGTGGCACGGACTCAGCCCGCCCGCCCGCCCGCTCCGCCGGCCCGCGCCTTCGCGGCCTGCCCTCACCTGATCCAGGTTTTCGTCGCTGCCGCTGTCCTCCGTGTCCGAGTCGATCACCACGCGGCCTTTCCGCTTCTTCACCATGGTGGTCCCCCGGCTCCCACGCCGGACGCCGCCCGGACTCCCCTCTAGCCCGTCTGCCAGTGGGACAGCCACTGCCACAGCCACCGCCGCCGCTGCCGCTGCTCGACCCACACAAAGGCGACCGCGCATGCGCGCTCCGCTCCGCCCCTGGCCCCGCCCCCCGCCCGGCGCACGCCGTTCGCCGGCTCCGGGCGCCCCTCCCTGTCCCGCCCCCGACGTAGCGTGAGGGGCGGGGCCAGCACCCGGCTCGGTTCCGGGCAGTGGACCGCTTTCTCGCATCCCGCGCCTGGCCCCGGGAAGTCTTGGTTGTGTTTCCGCTGCGGGACCCAAGTTTGATGGGAAGCTTACCTGTCGTGGACTGGAGCCGCAAAGCACCCGGATCCTCTCTGAGGAGCCTTTCAACTGCCCGCCACTGATGAAGTGGCGAGGGCGACGTCAGGGGCAGTCCTCCTGAGAGACACCAGTCTCCTGGACCTCCGCTGAGGGCACCCGCTGGGACATGAAGCTTTGCACACTAGGTTGTGCAAGTGACCGAGCTGGGACCTGGAGGATGCATCTGAGTTACCCAGAACAACAGTAGAGGGAAGGGTGTGCTTAACAGAGAACCGCGTGGGCAAAAGCCGTGATAATAGAGAAAAAGTTAGGGTCAGGGAACTGAAAGTTTATGATGGCTGGAACAGATGGCATGGAGTGTGGGAATAAGGCGGAGGAAGGACCCAGCGGCTACATGCAGAGTCTAATAAGCTAAAGAGGAAGTATTGGAAGATTTAAACGGAAGAACGACATGATTAGATTTGTGTTTTAAAGAGATTACATAGCTTCCCCAGTGTGGTGAATGCATTAGAATGCAGGGAAACGCCGAAACCGGTTCGGCTCAGTGGATAGAGCATTGGTCTAAGGACTGAAAGGTCCCGGGTTCGATTCCAATCAAGGGGCATGTACATTGGTTGTGGGCACATCCTCAGTAGGAGGTGTGCAGGAGGCAGCTGATCGATGTTTCTTTTTTTTTTTAAATATATTTTATTGATTTTACACAGAGAGAAATTAAGAGAGACAGAGAGTGAGAAACATTGATGAGAGAGAAACATCGACCAGCTGCCTTTTATTCCCCGCCCCCTCCCCCCCCACTGGGGATGTGCCCGCAACCAATGTACAGGCCCTTGACCGGAATCAAATCCGGGACCCTCCAGTCTGCAGGCTGACGCTCTATCCACTGAGCAAAACCGGTTTTGGCTGATCGATGTTTCTAACTCTCTGTCCCTCTCCCTTTCTCTCTGTAAAAAGTCAATAAAATATATATTATAAATAAATAAAAAAAGAGGGCAGGGAGACCATATAAGCTGTTGGTGTCATTTTAGCAAGAGATGACGGTGTCCTAAACGAAGGAAGGAGCAGTAGAAATGGAGGGATGATTTGGAAGTTAGAATTACCAGGTCTTGGAGATTAGTTGGGAAAGGAGTAAAGTCAGGTCACAGAAAAAAATGACGCTCTGTTCGGGCATAGGAAGCTGGTGGCAGGTGGGCCCTTCATCAAGATGAGCAACACATTGGGAGGAGGTTTCAGAACTGGTGTTATGGGAAATAAGTTCAGTTTCATGCCTGTTGAGTTTGAGGTCAGCTGATTAAAAGGGCAGCTCCAGGAGTGCTTTCTTTGTGGGATTTGGCATATAGAGTAGGGAGCATAAGCAATAACAACTTGACATCTTCTAAAAACTTTTTGGAGTCCATTCATTCATTATTCTGGTAGTGAACTTAGGAATGAGGCCACAGACTTCCCTAGCATTACTGGGCAGAGGCAGGCTGAGGAGTTCTTGGTCTCTGGCTCACTTTTTCTGTCTAAATTTTATTTTCTACAACAGGTTTACAGTACATATCACAAATGTACACACCTTAAAATAATAATAAAGAAAACATACATAGAGACCTGAACTAAATACATACCTAGATGTCCAATTTGCTACCAGTTAGTTTAAAAAGGTGTTCAGACCCAAACCCAGAGTGGCCGGGCCCGGAGAAGCCGGGCCCAGAGCAGCCGGGTTGGGAGCAGCCAGGCCCAGAACAGCAGTAGCCAGGCCCGGAGCATCCAGGCCGGGAGCGGCCAGACTCGGAGCGGCTGGGCCCAGGGCAGCTGGGCCCAGAGCAGCCGGGTTGGGTGCGGCCAGGCCTGGAGCAGCAGCTGCCAGGCTGGGAGCGGCCTGGCCCGGAGCAGCGGCTGCCAGGCCGGGAGCGGCCAGGCCCGGAGCGGCCGGGCCCGGAGCAGCCGGGCCCAGAGCAGCCGGGTTGGGTGCGGCCAGGCCCGGAGCAGCTGGGTCTTGTGCGGCCAGGCCCGAAGCAGCGGTTGCCAGGCTGGGAGTGGCCAGGCCCGGAGCAGCCAGGTCTGGTGCGGCCAGGCCCAGAGCAGCGGCTGCCAGGCTGGGAGCAGCCAGGCCCGGAGCAGCCGGGCCCAGAGCAGCCGGGTTGGGTGCGGCCAGGCCCAGAGGAGCAGCAGCCAAGTCCAGAGCAACTAGGTCACGAGCAGCAGTGACCAGACCCAGAGCAGCTCGTTCCTCGCCAGCCCCTGCCCCACGGCGGCCTCTCAGACATGGCTGGAAACTTTTGTGGGAACTTGAGGGTCTGCTGAATCACGTGATGAAGGCTTAGATCTGGATGTGTTGAGTTGGTATAGCGCTGGGGTGTTGATCTGTGAGTGCCTTGGGTGGGGCCTGGATGAGGCTGGTTGACCTATTTGGAAATGTCTTTTGTGTGAAGTGTATCATTGGGCATGTGGAGGTATTATTGATATGAGAAAATGCTAAGTAACTGATTTATCATACTATCTGAAAAGGGATTTACTATCGGGGAAAGGGAGGGAGGAAGAGACTGAACATAAAATGTGCACCTATGGATGAGGACAATGGGGGATGGGAAGGGGGCGGAGGATGGGGTGGAGGGGGGAAGAAATGAGGAACCTTTGTAATAATATGAACAATAAAGATTGATTTAAAAAAATAAATAAATAAATAAATAAATAAATAAATAAATGGTGTTCAGGATTCAGGTAGAAAAAAACAATAAGGCCCACCTACCGCTTTATTCCAAAAGAGTTGTTCTAAGATATAACCCCTAGGACTTCTCTCTCCAGCATATCCTTGGAACTGAGACCACAGACAAGAAGACCCAAAATGGCCAGGCTAGCTCCTCCATTTCTAGCCAGCCAAAGCCCGGTGCCCTTCGGTGAGGTGGAGTTCTCCTTTTGATGGCCCAACCATATCTTTTTTTAAAAAAAATACTATATTTTATTGATTTTTCACAGAGAGGAAGGGAGAGGGAAAGAGAGTCAGAAACATCAATGAGAGAGAATCATCGATCAGCTGCCTCCTGCACACCCCATACTGGGGATGTGCCCACAACCAAGGTACATGCCCCTGCCCGGAATCGAACCCGGGACCCTTGAGTCTGCAGGCCGACGCTCTTATCCACTGAGCCAAACCGGTCCCAGCCCAACCATATCTTTTTTACTTTTAATCCTCACCCGAGGATATTTTTCCATTGATTTTTAGAGAGAGTGGAGGAAAAAGGGAAAGACAGAAATATCCATGTGAGAGAAACACATCAATTGATTGCCTCCTGTATGTGCCCACTCCAGGGCCCAGCTTGGGCCAGGGAGGAGCCTGCAACCCAAGTATGTGCCCTTGAGGTAATCAAACCCAGGACCCGACACTCAATTCACTGAGACAAATCAGCTAGGACCCAACAACCTCTTAATGAGTTCAGGGTCTAAAAAGTTGCTCAGATAAAAATTTGGCAAAGGATGGCCACTTTTTATTGGGACAAGTGCCCTCAGCCCTCTTATCACCTTTTAATATATATATATATATATATATATATATATATATATATATATATATATATTTTTTTTTTTTTAATATTTTTTTATTTTTTATTGATTATTTCCAGAGAGGAAGAGAGAGCTAGAAACATCGATGAGAGAGAAACATAACATGAGAGAGAAATGTCAATCAGCTGCCTCCCACATACCCCTCTCTGGCCCTCCACTGGGGATGTGCCCGCAACCAAGGCACACGCCCTTGACCAGAATCGCACCTGGGATCCTTCAGTCCACAAGCCAATGCTCTATCCACTGAGCCAAACTGGTTTTGGTCCTCTTATCACCTTCTGATTGAAGGTTGAGGAGTACCCTTGTTGGCTTCCCATCTATTTTGCCAATGGGGATGCTTATTGTGTTCTGTTAGCCATTTCCATAATTCTCTGGGGCCTCCTTGGCTATAATTCTGACCTATCTACTCATAATTGCATCTACCTGGCTTCTGGCAGTTATGTACTGCCACCTGGCCTCTTGTTTCAAAATCCTATCACCCCATCCTATTAGCTGAGTTTTATAACAGTCTCACCTACTGCAATATAGGTGAAGCACCATTAAACTTATAGTGATACTGGTGCGCCTGTTATTATCACACTAGAGTAGGGGTGTCGAACTCAATCAGAGAAGGGGCCAAAATCTAAAATCCAGCCTAAATCGCGGGCCGAATGGTTTACTGAACAGTCATAAAAACTGTCATTGTGATGGAAACGCAGCAGAGTGCAGTGATGACAGCGCGGTGCGGGCCACATTGCAAGGCCTGGCGGGACGGATTTGGCCCGCGGGCCTTGTGTTTGACACATGTGCACTAGAGGCTCAATGCCCAAAAATTGGTGCACTGGAGGGGGCGGGGGATCCCTCAATCTGCCCTGTCCCCTCTCACAGTCCTGGAACCCTCAGGAGATATCCTACTGATGGCCTAGGCCCGCTCCCTCTGCTGGAGGCGACAGGGCAGATCAGGGGGAGGGGCCGCCCCCAGCACCCCGTAGCTGCTGCTGCCACTGCCAATGGCCGTGGCTACAAGGCCTGAGCCCTGGGCCTCACAGCCACGGAGCCGTAAGACGTCTGGAAGACTTGTGGTCTAATTAGCATATTACCTTTTATTAGTATATATTCCTTATGGCCTTGGTAAATGGAGTCTTCTTTTATATATATATATTTTATTGATTTTGTACAGAGAGGAAGGGAGAGGGATAGAGAGTTAGAAACATCGATGAGAGATAGACATCGATCAGCTGCCTCTTGCACACCCCCTACTGGGGATATGCCCGCAACCAAGGTACATG